TTTTTAATAATCTTGCTAATCATGATGGTGTCATATACTCATTTGCTAGTATACTGATGCATAATAATCCTCAAATTAGTATTTGTCATTGAGAACTGATTTGGTCATGATGTAATATCACATATAATTATGCTAAAATTGTGTTTAGAATACTGGCATCTCTGGTCATGAGGGTTTACCTCAGGAATGCATGACTGGGTTACCATTCTACCTCAATTCTAATTAACCATAGAAAAGCCATATGGTAAGATATCATAGAATAATTACCTCAGATACAAAAATCCACTCTGAGCAGGGAGAACCCGTTGAATTTCCTTCCACATTGTAACTTACAGAAAACACCTACCATAGTTAAGAAGCCCTAAATATTATATATAGTGTCTATACTAAGGGTACTTTATTCCACATACTTATGACCCTAAAGAGGCCAACTGGACTCATTTTTGTTTCCGAAAACAACTCTAGTTGCTCAAGAAAAGAGAATATATTTCAGCCTAATGGTTACCATATTATGAACTCAAGCTGATGAAATGTAACTATATTAATTTTGTGTCCAAACATAAGTTTAAGGAGGAAAAACATGAGCATTAGATCTACTTTGCTATCTCCTTTAGAAGTCAGTATTTTATCCTTGAAAGAAATATTTAACAAACAAAAGATATTCATTTGAAGATCTAGTAATGGTTATAGCATAATAGTTATTTAAACCTAACAAATTTTCATTGTCTTAAATGTGCATTGATATAGTGCCAGAGGAATATGCAAACAGAATTTAAAACTGGGGCTACTACACTATATTCATTATTACTAATTCTAGAAACTCTTGAAACTTATGGGTGACATACTTGTCAGAAAGTTCTCTCTACCAAATAAAGGACAACCCAATCTCTGTTATGAACTGTCACTACTAATTTAGCAGAGCTAGAAGGCAGCTCAGCCGAGTAGACAGAAAATTAAAACATGGGCAGCTCCTGATTGGAAATGTATTCATAGCAGGTAATGAAACAGCACAGTCAGGATCTCTGGTACTACTCAGAGTAAGAGATTTAATTCTGATAACTTTGATGATGGCACTTGAATCCCAGATTCTAAAAGGTGACAGGTTGTGACATATAGATAGGATAAAATGAGCATCAGTAGCATATCTCTACAGAAGCAATTCTATAACATCAGTTTTTTCAAACAGTAAATATAATAATTTCAAAAATTATGGCAGAAGTTTTCAAAGAAGAGGCTTAGGTCTTAAGCAAGCCATGTGCCATATTTATGTCTATTTGTCAGTGGGCTATAAAATTAATCAGCCTAACAAATGTAAGGGGTGGAAATATTCATATTTAAAATATGAAATATAAATTGTAGTTTCTGATTTCATCTGAATAAGGAACAAACTCAAAATTACAGGCAGAGTAGCTATTTTATGAAGAGGGTGAAAGTGAAGGATTGGGTTATATATTTATATGCATGTAAGGAATATTCATTAAATGCATTCACATATAGCTAAATACAAGTATGCTGTTCACATTTTTTAAATATAGTTTTTTATTTTGAATTTTGTGTGCCTTTTTAAATTTTCTAATTATCTACAATGGCATTATTTTATAATGAAAGGTGTATTTTTTTTAATTGCCTATTTCAGACATAACTCTCTGATATTTCTCATAAGAGAAATATGGTTGAGTAAATAGTATTTCCACATGAACAGGTATTTCAATACATCTCTTTTGAATTTGTAAAGCAGCACATTTGTTGTGTGTGGTTAAAATTACTTAACGCCCCTTCAAAGGGAGGGGTGTTAAGGAATTTTAAGGCTATGTGCAAAAATGCTCATATCTAACAAGTTTTATTCGATAAACTAACAAGTTTTCAAGTTTTCTTGAAACCGTGATTGACCAGTAGCTTTCAGCAGAAATGGCACTGTGCCACGTTCTAAACCCAGACCATATAAAATGGCAGCTTGCACATCCTGTCTTTCGGGACTGTCACTCTTGTGAGAAAGCCCACGTTGTCTGTGGAGTGGGCTAGGAGGAGGGGAGCTGGGGTCCTCAACCTCACAACCAAGGCTGAGCTCCTAGCTGACAGCACCAGCTGTAGGCCATGTGAGTGAACCATCCTGAAAGCAGATGCTCTGTCCCCTACGTGAGCCACCCCGGCTGACACAAGGTGAAGAAAAGAAGAGCAGTCCACACTGAGGTATACCCAAATTGTGAGTTTGGGAACAAAACAAATATTGCTGTGAAGTCACTAAATATTTGGCTTGTTTATTAAGCAGCAATAAATAACCAAAAGAGCAAAGTAGGACTTTGATCATGAATGCTAAGACATGTTTGTTTAAATGAATTTATATACACTGGCTTTGGGGGATTTTATCCATATTGTTTAATAATGTCATAACTAATTGTGATGGTTTATACTGATTGTCAACTTGATCGGATTGAAGGATGCAAGGTATTGTTTCTGGATACGTCTGTGAGGGTGTTGCCGAAGGAGATTAACATTTGAGTCAGTGGACTGGGAAAAGCAGAAACCCACCCTCGATCTGGATGGGCACCATCTAATCAGCTGCCAGCACAGCCAGAATAAAAGCAGGCAGAGGAACGTGGAAAAACTAGACTAGCTTAGTCTTCCAGCCTCCATCTTTCTCCTGTACTGGATGCTTCCTGTCCTCAAATATCAAATTCCAAGTTCCTCAGCTTTTGGACTCTTCGGCCTTTCACCACAGACTAAAGGCTGCACTATTGGACTAGCTTCCTGGCTCTTCAGCTTGCAAATGGCCTACTGTGGGACTTCACCTTGTGACTGTATGAGTCAGTTCCCATCATAAACTCCCCTTGATATATATATATATATATAGCTTCATAAATATATATATATCCTATTAGTTCTCTCCCGCTAGAGAACCCTAATACATTAATAGTATAAACTTACATAGAAAATACTAATTCTATAAAATGGGAAAAGTTCAATATTGGTCAAATAGAATGGCATGTAGGATACTACAAATGCAATTTAATAAAACTATATTTACAGAGGACTAAGCCTATATGACAGCAGGAAAAAAAACCAACAAAATGGTCACAATAAAAATTAAGTTAAAACCATATGATGCTTTATTTACCAAAAGCATGCACATGAGAAAGATTAATAGCTAATTCAATAAAAAAGAAGCCAAGTATTAAATAACAATGTTGAGTTTGTCTCAATTTCTGTAATAGAAATGTTTTGGAAAACAATGATGTATGATCCCTTTTGTTTAGAAAATTGGCTAAGTTTAAATGCACTTTGGTACAGCAAGGTACACTAGGATAAACACGTTCATAAAAAAAAAAATGTTGTATAACATAAAAATCCATCCACTTAATGTATTTCTTTTTAAGGTATAGTTCTACAGAATAATTGTTTTAAAACATAAAAATCTATTTAATATATTTCTTTCATAAGGCACACTTCTACAAAAGAATCAACCCTCATTCATCCAAATATAAACCAGAGAGTTAAATTAATTGAATTTCTACTTCTATAAGATATACTCAATGATGTAATTAGTAGAGTTATGTAATTGTAGTTTTTTGCCAATAAAAGTAAGGACAAAAACCACAATTACTTTTGCACCAACCTAATATATCACAGAATTAATGCAGATTTAGTCTTTTTTATTTGCTATAAATCTGTGGCATAAAAATTAATGTTCAAAAGGTGACATGAATACAAAATACCTTCATGAGCAAAATTATATTAGCCCCCAAACTCTGCCTCCTTCTACAATAAAAAGCCTGAGAATAAGAATGATTAATCAGTTTGTACCACAGTGAGGCTAGGCCAGGAACCCTGCTACCATCTTGTTTCTTTTCTCACCTATTACACTGCCTTATCTGGCATGAGTGTTTCCTGAATGGCTATGAAATATAAAATAATGTATGATATCCAGAAACAATGTATGAATTTCCTTCATATACAAGTCATCTAATTTAGGTTGAAAAATGAGACTTCTTCATTTTACAAAATTATTTGCTGAGATATTTTTCTATATAGCCTATTTTCCAGGTATATTTATGTTTATGTATGATGCAACACTGGAAAGAAAATTCATTTTTTTTCAAAAATACATATACATATATATAATTATATATAATATGTATATAATACATATACATATTTCACATATGTATTATAAAATATGTATATGCATTATAGAAATATGTATTATACATTACTGGATACTTTGCTACTTTTAATATGCTTGACATTTTCATTTTTTCACTTACAATAAATAATAAACACAAGTTCATGGTTTTTTAATTTTTCTTTTTAATTTTTGCCATAAGCTATTTAATCACCTAAAACACCCTTCTCCTTAGATGTTAGAAGAGGTCAGAGATCTGTTTGATCTTAACAAATGGTCTCAACACTAAGCCTTAGTTTATTTATCTATAAGATGGCTATAACAATAGTGTTTACTACATGTAAGTAGAGTTGCTGTGCAGATTAAATAAGATAAAATAGGTAGCTAGTATATCTAAAACACTTGGCACCGTACATGAAACATATTATATACTAGTAACTGTTGTTTTATAGTTGTAAATTTATTTAGCTGTAATCAAAAGCATGAAATTTTAAGATACGAAGCAATGAAGTATGATTTTTTTAAATAGCCTTCTTAAAACAATGTATTTCTCTAGTAAAAGGAGACTGGCTATGATTTAAGTCAATTTGATAAAGTTGCCTTTTAGATATTAAAAAAAAATGGTTCACAGCCAAATTTTTAAGTGACCATATCACCAATATATTTTACATGGCATAAGATATGTAAAATTGAAATTTAATGCAATATACCACAAATACATGTGCTATACAAAACAAGGTAAAATCCCCTGTACAACAAAAATAAATCGAATTAAGAACATTAAGTACCAGTGAGAGAGTACACACACAATGAATTTAGTGAAATTCTTAAAAATTAATCTTGAATGCAACAATAGAAAACATTTCTATATTGTATGTACCTACCTGGAGTAGGCAAACAATCTGCTATCCCAAAGATCATGAGTCCCTCTAGGTCCAGAATGAAAATAACAGGAATCCGTCCCATCAAACATATTCAATCCATCTGCTGAATTTTTTGAAGCATGGCTGTGTACCACATCTAAGAGGACTATGATACCCATGGAATGAGCTGTGTCTACCAGTTCTTTTAGCTCTTCAGGTGTTCCATAACGGCTAACAATAAAGAACACGGCAAAAACAAGATTGCATCACATTTAGAGGAAATGGTCAATTGTGCATCAACTGCTTCACCATCACAGTAGTAGACACTTTAAATATCCAAGCAGCATGTGATATGATACTTGGATACAACTCAAATTTGCTTCATGTTTGATATGAAGCAAATTTAAAACCATTAAGTTAGAAAATAATTTAAATCAAATTATTAAATCGGGTTATTAAATGTAGATTTATACCCTAACCAAAATTCACATTTTGAGGATGTAAATAATAAAACTCTGCTTCTCTATTCTCAGAGCTTCTGATTTCCACCTGCAAGTAAGTCATTCCTGCTCTCATGTTTGCCCATTCCTTTCAGTGTGTACATTTGAGATTGAGGGGCTCTTCAATAATTTCTTTGAATATCCACGGTGCCTTGATTGAGGCTATCCCTCCTGCACTTATTCCAAAAATAGAATGCCCACAGTTACCAGTGGGCCAAGACAATGTGCCACGTTTGTCACCACGTAAATAAGATGGGTAGCTCACAAGCAGGTGTGTTTGTGTTAAAGGTAGCCCCACAGTCTGAATGAAATAGGTAACAAAAATTACTCACAGAACAAGGCCTTTCTTAACCTGTGTAAAATTTTGACGTTATAGTCATCCATGGCATCAACTTTGCCCTTTAGTCACCCTTGCCTTCAATTGTTTACTGTCTCTCTTCCTCACTAGACTATATGCTCCTTGAGGGCAGCAGCTGTTCCTATCAGGCTCCTCATGATATGGTACGGTGCTAAGCATATAGCAAGTCTCCTGATAGCCAACTCCACTGAGCAGCAAGAGCTCTCTTTATAAACTACAAATAAGATCATGTCACCTACTTAAAATCATACTTGTGCTCCCATTGATCCGAGTGAAGACCATTGTCCTGATCATGGCCTACTGCACAATCTACTGGCTCTTTCCAATAATGTTAATCATCTTATGACACTCTCCCACACCCTCTTTTTATTCCAGCCACCTGTCCATTTTCATACTCATTGAACAACATGTTCAATAATAAAGTTTTTTTCATTCAGCCATTCACTCATTCCTTCATTCATTCCTTTATTTGTTTGCCAAATACTTACTAAAGTTATCTACCATGTGCCATGACATTTTCTATGTTCTGGAGATACACTAGTGAAAAAAATAAACACCACTGACCATATGGAATTTACATTCCCACTGGGAGACAACAAACAAGGAAAATACGTAGAATGTCAGATAATAATAAATGTCCTAAAGAAAACAAAAAGCCACTGGTGGGAAGGGAAGGTTTGCTATTTTAAAGATGGTCATAAGTTAAAGTTCATGGAAAAGGCAATATTTGAGCAAGAAAAAAAGTAAGAAGCAAGGCATAACAATATCTAAGGGTAAGAGCATTCAGACACAAAGGAACAGCAGGTGCAGGGCACTGGGGCAGGGATGAGCTAAGAGCATTTGAAAAAAAGCAAACAGGCTACTGTAACTAGAATGATCAAGAAAGAAAAGAGGTGAGCTCTAAGAGTCAGCCAAGAAGCACATCAAATGAGGCCTTGGGGACCAGTGTAATGTCTTTTGCTTTTATTCTGAAGGAGACAGGGATTCACTAGGGGTTCTGAGCAAGACAGCGACACGATCTAACTTTAATTTTTAAATGATTACTCTGGCCACCAGGCAGAAAAATTGACCATAATTGGTAGACCAAAGGTAAGAGAAGGGGAAAGAAAGCATGAGAAAACAGAGTGACCAGTCAAAGAGCTATTGAAACAATCCAGGTAAAAGATAACCACAAGTTGGACATGGGTGGTGGCAGTGGGGGCAGTTGAAGCAGCCAGATTTGGGATCTATTTTGAAGTTACAGATCGCTAGATTTTATAATAGCTAGCGTGTAGGGAGGAACAGAAAGGGACAAGTCAAGTATAATGCCAAGATTTTGGGCTTGAACAACTAGAAGATGAAAATGTCATTTACTGCAGTAGAGAAGATGGCAGGGGGAGGAAGCTTGAAGTTAAGATCAGAAATTTAATTTTGGACACATGAAGTTTGATATAAGTATTAGATACCCCAACATCAAATATATACTTTCTGAAGTTCGTAAGATAGGTCAGAGAGACTTAAGTTTGGGAGTTAACATATAGCATATATTTAAGCTACAAAACTGGATGAGACTTGATGAGATCCTCCCACGTATTTCATACAGATGAAGAAGAGAATGGAACTAAGTACTGAGTTCCATTATTTAATGGTCCAATATTTAATGGTCATAAAGATAAAGAGGAAAGAACAAAGGGAATTAACAGTAAGCAAGAAGTGAGGTGGGAAAAGCAACAACAGGAGGCTAAACTATTCTGGAAGCCAGGGAAAGAAAAAGGTTTCAAGAAGGTGAGAGTAACCAGCTGTGCCAAGGGGTGTGGACAGCTGAAGTAAGCTAAGAATTGCCCATTGTCCTCAACAATGTGAAGGTCACTAATACCCTTGACAAAAGCAACTTCAGTGAAGAGGCAGACAGCATACCTGGAGGGGGCTCAAGAAAGAACTGGAGTGGAGGATTTGGAGACAGTATTATAGGTAACTTATTCAGGGAGAACTAATATAAAGAGAAACAGGTAAATGAACCAGTATCTTTTTTCTATGCCTGGAATGTCACCTATTTACGCCCACTTCACCCCTCTCCCCAGTTAACTCTTAGTTGTGTTTTAGATCTCACTTGCAGTATTTGTTCTGATCTATTCTAAACTGATCAGACTTCTGATTATAGCTCCCTGTCATTTTCATTTTAGCTTTTATTACAGTTAAAAAATAATAATCTGTATGAATGATGATAGGAGCAATGTCTATATGCCACATGTCATAAACTCCACAACACTGAGAGTGTTGGACTTCTTCAGTCTGTGGTCATTTAGATCAGCACCTCGTTAACTGCACAGAACCCCGTGGTGTCTTTTCCGTCCAGAGAGCAACATTCCACCCATTTCCGCCTGGAGGGAAGGGCAGTCCTTCCGTGAGCAGTAATTGTCCTGCCAAGGGCCTCTTCAGTGACCTTCCTAGATGAGTCAGTCTCTTTCCGGAAAACGACGTGCTCTCTCACAAGAATGGCTTTCATAGGACAAGATTTTCTGACTAAACCTTGGGCCTCCAAATATGTGACAATTTCAGCAGGTAACTGGACATTCTATATCACAAATCATCCCACGAACAGCAACATAAAATCAAGGACAATTTCTAAGGCGGGATGGGAAGAGAGTGTATGGCCTTAGTAAAAGAAAATGTTCAGTTTCTATTAACTCTGTTAACCCTAAAATGTTACAGAATGTTATATAAAATGTAAAATTTCATTTTATTTATTTAAATTATTTGCTCAAAATAAGAATGAACATAATGAGTCTTTGATTTTACCTTGAAGCTGCAAAGAAGCTCGTGATTTGGTAACCAAAGCTGGCATAGTAAGCATGCTCCATGATTGCCATCAACTGAATGCAGTTGTATCCTATGTAAGGCAATGGTCAAATATAAATTAAAAGCCCCCTTTAAAAAAAAAGTAATGGGGGAAAAAAGCATCCTCATTCCCAATACATTAAAATTTACAATCTAGAAGCTTTGATCGTCTTGAAAAGTTCTACTACTTTAACATTTTTTGTTTGACCTTCTAATAACATTGAATAGTCTCTTAGAGCTGTATTCTGACTAGCTATTTGATATACCTTCATTTTAACAAGCAATAAATAATATGCAAACTTGCTTAATTTGGTTTTAGCATATTAAAGATGGCAATCTCTATATGCTAAACAGCAGTTACATTTGTAATAGTCATATTGAAGATTATGAAACCTAAATTTAAAAAACCAATTGCATGACATATACTTTTTATTTTGACTCTTTCTATTTATTTCTATATATTTCAGTCCTTTTTACCATATAGCATAAGAAATAGCACCAAACTCATATTTTTCAGAGGTAGCTTTCTTTTTCTTTTTTTTTTTTTTTTTGAGATGGAGTCTCGCTTTGTCGCCTAGGCTGCAGTGCACTGGCGTGACCTTGGCTCACTGAAACTTCTGCCTGCCAAATTCTCCTGCCAGGCAATTCTCCTGCCTCAGCCTCCTGAGTGGCTGGGACTACAGGTGCATGGCACCATGCCTGGCTAATTTTTTGCGTGTTTTTAGTAGAGATGGGGTTTCACCATGCTGCCCAGGCTGGTCTCGAACTCCTGACCTCAGGTGACGCACCGCCTCGACCTCCCAAAGTGCTGGGATTACAGGCATGAGCCACCGTGACCAGCCCAAAAGATAGCTTTTATGCAATTAGCATTAATGCTTCTACTTTCCACTATATAATTTGCACCTATAAAATTATTTCCAAGTGCATATATGCATGTATGTGCACATACAAACACATCACCTTACTTTCTCCATCTGGATATGTTTTGCTCTAACAGTAAATAAAGTGACTCAAAAAAGTAGATATCATGTTTTAAAAATCCATAACATTAAAAAAATTCTAGTATTTTTTAATATAAGCAAATAATCAAGGGGAAAAGTATTGGTCTTTAAAAAGCTAAGAAAAACAGGTTTTTCTTCTTGAAGTATAATTTGGTAAAATGATCAAATATGATTTCATTACTTTGGAAGTTACAGTTCTGTAACATACATAGAAAATATTCTTACTCTGCTCTCAAAGTCCAATTCATGCAAGCTTTATAATTTTCTTAAGGTTTATATAAGTTCGTTTTTAACGGCAGTTCATTTAAATATGCAACTATACTTGTAAATGTACTTATAAACAAAGGTATTAGATTAGTTTCATTCTTCTGGGTTGGTATCTTATATCAAGCACAAATTTATAGTTTTATTCTTAATTTTAATGGCATTAATCATTCCTGGATTCACTTTTATTCCAGGTACTAGGCTAGGGAATTCCGACACAAAGACGAATAAGAGAATCCTTGTGCTGAACGTTCTGCAAGAACTGGGTCATAAGCAATTTATTACTCCATAATATGAAAGAATATTTCAAATATAATAATTTAGCATAATATCTATTAATTATAATTAATACTAAATACTCTATATATTTAATTAATTTTGGTTTCTGGAACCTGACTTTACCATCACAGATAATCCATACATAACTGAAAACTTTAACCATGGCTTACAAATCTTTCTTCTAGCCAAAATTTGGACTCCCTAGCAGAAGCAGTAAAATTAAATGTGCTTTATCCTCCTGCCTAGCCATTGAAGCAGGTGTTAAATATACTGTCAAATTATTTTAAATAGTATTACCTATAAAAACAACAGATTTAAAACACACTGAATCAATAATTCAGCAATATATTATTCACTCTCCTGTTGGTTATGAAGACAGGATCTGTGCCAGTACAGTTCAATATATGAATAGCTAGCAAAATGTGTCTCACAGAGATATTCTATAAATGTTTGTTAAATAAGTCATCCAGGAAGGGGCTATATAAAATAACTCTGATACAAAATGAGTTCCAGGCACATTACAAATATAAGATTTTTTTCCTTAACAGACTAAAATGAACAGGCTATAATCAATGATCACTTAAATTGATAAACTTTTCCTCCAGCAAAAAAGTAATTATGCTTACATATTTATCTATAATTTTGGAAGTCATCCGTTCACATTACTTAAAATTGAAATTGGAATAATATCTTTAATTCTTATGCTCTATCTTATTCCATTTCTCTTTTCTATGCTATCACTATTACAGGGCAATTTGAGAAGCCTAAAATAAAATGTATTTCTATTACATATTTAATCTCCTAACACAAAAAAGAGACACTTGTAATTAGCTTTTCTAATAAGAGAACAGACTCATTAAAATTTTATCTGAATAAAAATCACAGTTATTACTTACCAAGGTCTTTGATTCTTGGTAGTACATTGCACGTAAAATGTTTATAAGAAGCTACTTTTCCTTCATGGGAAGAAATTCCCACATGAGATTCATAAATTCTTAGACTTCGTGGCTTCTTTGGTCTGGAATGCTTAAACTACAGAATATAAATTACATATAGAATTAAACCAGGAATTCAGGTATGACACTACCTGATTAAGTATATTTTTTAAAAGTGGTGAATATACTTAAACACTTGGAACTATTCTCACATATAAAAGGCACCGGCTACACTCACTAAATTTTATTTTAGGAAAAAGTCCTTACAGTCCTGTTAGTGGATTTTAAAAGATAAATCATGTAATAGCTTATGCCTTATCATTGAGTAAAGACTATTTTTTGAGCTTAAGCCTCAGAGAAAATGTAAGATCCATGAAATACAGACGTAATTATCAAATGCAAAGTATATATCAACAAACTCCAATGATTTAAAGGACAGAAAGTGAGTTCAAATATACACAGAACACTTGTCAATAATATGGCGGTAAAAATTACCCTAGTTAATACATTCATGAGATGGTCTTCCCTATTCCATATTTCTAAGGACATTTATCCTAATTCAAACCCATGACACTGAGAAATATTGCACTAAAGAGTCTCTGATAAATCAGAAATTGTAGTTAAAAAAAACAAACACAGTATCCCTTACAGAGTAGTATATAGCAATTTAGTATTCTGTTTTCCTTAACCTCAAAAACAGACTACACAAAAACTAGCTTCTATATGTTATTGGCTACAGAAGACAGACTCTGATACACGCACAGTGTAAGAGGAATCCTATGATGTAAAATACTCAACTGTCAGTGAGGAGAAGCATTGAACATTACTATAAAAGTTATAAAAGTAAAAATTAACTTTCCTAGAAGTATTGGAATAATAATTTATTTAAAGATTTGTTGTTCTCACTTCATATGAGTGTTCTGGATCCCAGTGTAGCCAATCATAGTTCACATTAGCACCTTCACGAACCACATACTTCGCCCACGGTGAAATACGATACAAGATCTCTCCGCTTTTACTAGTAATAACTACCTAAAAAGAGAATGAGATGTTATTGCTTTAAAATACGTCCAGAACTCTGATAATACATAATGGTTGAGGAGCACTGCTACAAGTAGGAGAGGATGAATGATCTTAAGAATCTAGACCACCATACAGATGTGTGACCTTCAGGAACATAATTCTATCAATGTTGGTTTTCTCATCTGCTGTTACTATATCATCCTTAAAGTAACTTCCAGCGTGAACATTTTATGGCTTTCTGGCAATTTCCACCACTGCAAACTAGCCATGAGAGTGCTTACTTAAACGAACAGTAGATACTAAAAAGACAAGAATATTATTTGGAAGCTTCTGTCAATAAATCAATCAATGAGAAAATCATCCTACTCCATTAAAAAAAGGAATTAGTGAGTTATATAACCATCTATTTTGTTTCCTTTCTATAGCAACTAATGAAAACATGTTCAGGAAGCTTAAGAAGAACAGGTTTGACTAACACTTACAAAGTGCACACACAGACACATACAAATATTTCCCACGCCTTCTCAACTTCTTTTACCTCCTATTTGCTGTATTCCTTACCATACAACACCAAGCATTAGCTCCTTTAATCATCCATTCACATATTTGCCAACAATACCACTACTGTTTTTGATAATTAAAAAAACAATAACATTTATTTTTTTACTGAATCTACTATTAAGACTTAGAACTAAATAAATGATTTTGAATTTATCCAGCCATATAAACGGAACTTCCACATGATTGAAATGGTAGCTTTTTATTTATTTATTTTTTGAGACAGGGGCTCACTCTGTCACCCAGGTGGAGTACAGTGGTGTGATCACAGCTCACTGCAGCCTCGACCTCACAGGCTCAGGTGATCCTCCCACTTCAGCCTATCGAGGAGCTGGGACGACAGGCAGGTGCCACCATGCTCAGCTAATTTTGCGAGGGCTGGGATTTTTTTTGTAGAAATGGGGTTTGTCTGTGTTGTCCAGGCTCGTCTTGAACTTCTGGGCTCAAGTGATCCTCCTGTCTCAGCCTCCCAAAGTGCTGAGATCACAGGCATGAGCCAATGCACCAGGCTGAAATTGTAGCTTTTACACAAAGTTGTCTTTTTTCTTAACTTTCTAAAAGGAGGTAAAATATAATTTTTAAAATCCAGATTAAAAGCTATATTATGCCCTCATCATTGAGGAGAATGTATTCTTCAGTCTCCTCTAATAGACAAAAGCTTAAGTACTCACAATTCTTAGTAACTAAATATTTGTAAAATGCTTTATAAAGACTTTTACATTCTTATCTCACTTGATTCCAGAAAATCTTTGTGACCCAAATATTAAGCGAGATTACGTAAGTTGCCAAAAATCCCAAAATAACCAAGTGGCAGAGCCAAAAGCTCAACACAGAGCTTCTAATACTCACTTCTCTTCTCCGAACAGGCTTCCCCAGCACTTCCTTCAGATGCCAAAAAATAATAAATTACGGTTTACAATGGAGAGGCTGGGTAAGTGGTGAAAGGAATATCTAACTTACATGAATACAATTATTTCTCCTTCATTATGCCTCCCACCTATTAAAGCTAATCATCACCAGGTGTTGCTATTATTCAAGCGATTATCACAAAACATGAAGCAATAAGACCAACCTACTTTTAGATTATTTTAACCTTAAAAAAAAAAAAAGTCCCTTAACCTATATGAATCTGTAGTATAATGTACTACAGTAATAGGTTTGAGAAAGGGCCTTCTGCTCACTCATCAACCCAGAACAATGTATGAGGAAACAAAATACTATAAATCCGTTTTCAGTGATTACCACTTTGGCTAATCTATCCATCTATGCTTTCTCTGTTTTGTAAATGGCTTCTAAAAGGCAGATCATAAAAAATAATCGTTTCTGAAGGTGTCTCTAGGCAGACAAAATACTTGCAATTGTAAGACATTGAAATTTTTACTTCATGCAGAATTTAACTCCCACATCCTTTGGAACACTAATTCCTTCATCTTGCTGTACACAGAAATGTCTCCAGAGGCTACCGAATGATGGGTGTTGAATGTTGAAAAGAACAGTCCCTGCAGGGTTCCCGGATGCTCTTACATCTTTTGCTGGGTGCACCAAGATGGCAGGGCCCTGACCACTGTTAATGGCAGCCATTTCTTAGGGCTGTCCTAGTGAGCAACCTTCAAGGATAACAATGACACCCTTGAAGACACAGAGCTGCTACAAAAGAAGGGATTCTCCAGGCTCAATATTATCTAGCTATGTTGTGAACCCAATGTGTGAGCAGCAGTCATCTGGCTCATATAGTGTCACCCCTAAAGGGTTTGGAGGACAAGGGGAGCCAATGAAAATATGATGTCTACTGTGCCATGAGTAATAAAATAATTGACTTCTGTTCTAGGAGTCCTGGACCAGAATCGATGGTATGGTAACAGGTTAACTTCTAAGTCTGTAGGCAGGGCAAAATCAAGTCACTGACCTGACAAAGGAGTGTTTGCTCATTCAGTGAATCACTTCAATATTTTGTTTCCAAAAGTTCTGTCTTCTCCTACTCTAAGAGTCATTTCTACTAGGGCTGCTTGTTGGAGGGGAGCATTTTAATGTTCCCATTTTCTCCTTCTCTCTTATTAATGGAATTGCACCCAAATGTTAAGTAGAGCAAAACTTTCTACCAGATCCGGAACACTGACCTGTGATTGGTACATAATAAATATCTCTACTCTTTAGGCCTCTGAATTTTGCAAGCATTTTTTTTTTTTTTACAGTAACTTAGGTTTTCCTTACTAGTACACCTGTCTATAGTAGCCATCTCACCTTGCTTTTTACTTTCTGTTCCTAAATTGTTGTAATCTCCATAGCTAAATAAGAGTATCATAACAAATACAAGTAAATTTAATTTGAGAGACAATCAGAGAGTAAAGACTATATCGTTTATGCACTAAACTTTGCTCACAAAACTCTTTTGGTGAGGGGGAGGGTACATCCTGCATATGTGTTATGCTCCAATGAGTTCAAATTCCAGTCGGAAAAATTTTTAGAGAAAACTTTAAGTCATTTAACTCACAACCTCAAAATGTCAGCATACTATGGAGCAAACTGAAAGAAAGAGCTGGCTTGATTCATCTTTCAACAAGAAGTCTGGTAGCTAATGTTTAAAAGAGTTCACTTGATACTGTCAAATGGGAGGTCTGATACACTGCTAGTGTGAGTATAAAGCAGTATAAAATTTCTGAACAGCAATTTGACAATCTGCATCAAAACCTCAGAAAAATTAATTCCAGGTCAGGTACAGCGGCTTATACCTACAATCCCAGAACTTTGGGAGGCTAAGATGGGAGGATCATTTGAGGTCAGACATTTGAGACCAGCCTGGGCAACATAAGGAGACCTGGTCTCTACAAAATATCAATGAAAAATAAAATAAAATAAAATTAATTTAAATTAAACTGACATGATGATGCATGCATACAGTCCTCATTAATTAGGAGGGTGAGGTGAGAGGATCGTTTGAGCCAAAGAGTTCAAGGGTACAGTGAACTATGATCATGGCACTGCACTCCAGCCTGGATAACAGAGAAAGATCTCGTCTATAAAAAATAAATAAATAAATAAAGTTAAAAGAAAAAAGTGACTTCAATGAATCAGCAATACTAATTATAAAAGCTTGCCCATGGAAACAATCAGAGATGTGCCCCAAAAAACTATGTCCTTGTCTATTAGTCTTAGTGCTACTTCTATTAGCAAAGACAGAGTGACTGAATCATGTATAGTTGTTAAAAAATATACACTATTTAAGCATATTAAAGATTGCAGAAGAAATCTTCTAAGCTATATGGAAGAATATATTGTATCTTTCTAATGTAAATGCACAAAAGCTCACAGTCTAAAGTATTTTAAAAGATATAAAAATATCAATAAGGTTAAATATGGGTAAGGGGACTGTGAGTAGTTTTTATTCTCTAGCTATATGTTTTGATGTTATCACTTCATTTACTGGTATAGATTCTAGATTCCAAAAATATCAGCGGCTTAGTAAGGATTACAGATATCTGAATCATGTAATCACACATACATCTGCAGAGTGTGCTCCTCCTTAGGGTGTACCTCTTGTGTACCTTAAGTATATTAACACATTAAGAAAGACAACCTAACAAAATATATCAAATTACTTGAAAGAAATATAATAATGAAAATAATACCATAATAATACCAAATAATACCATAATAATCTTTTTTAATGAGCCAAATTATTTATTTGACTTACAGGAGGTTATCATCAAAAGACATTATTGGATTACAAAAGTAATTTAATAAAAGAAACTTCTAACTTTGCAAAAGTCAAATTAACTTAATGAATGGTTTAAAGTCAAATTTTACTTAGAACATGTCATTTAAAACTCAAATACACAATATAAAAAACAGTGAATGATGAAGACAAAAAAGTGTGTGTGTGTGTGTGTGTGTGTGTGTGTGTATTCATTCATGCTTGGAATATATTTTAAAATGCTTCTTGCAAAAAACAAATTTTCCATGTACTGGAAAATTACTGAGATAATATGTTCCTTAGGTGGCCAACAATTTTATATAAAAACATCAGATGTGTTCAGCTGGTTAGAAGTAAGTGTTAGCATACTCTGAAAGATAGTAATGAATGTAGCTTTAGGTTTCATGAAGGAAAGTGTAGCAGGCTAACAGAAAAGGCACAGTTACTGAATCACATAATTCAAATTGCCCCAATTATACTACAGACATCTCCTAATGTTGTGAGGAGGAGGTTTTCTTGAAAAAATTTTTGCTTAAAGCAGAGTGAAAAAAAAAAAAACATATTGATCAAGATAACTATCTGATAGGGTACAGGTCAAAGTGAATTATCAAACAAGTGATTTCTAATTTACAGAAAAATACTACTTCCACTTCTTTTTAATTTGACTTTTAAAATTTCAGCTTTATTGAGTTATAATTAACAAAAATTATATATATTCAAGGTGTAAAACAATGTTTTGGTATATGTACACATAAACCCA